CTACTTCCGGGTTAGCAGAGTCTGTAATGCGAAGTGTTTGTAACCCGAGGTGTTTGTAACCCGAGGTACCACTGTAAATAAATGCTGACCTCTGTTCAGCTCTCTCTGCACCCTTTAGGAACATGAAAAATGGTAGCAGGTTTACTGTTTAAATTGGGGTCACTGTGTCAGCAGTCAGATATGAATGTGTGACATCATTTCGGACAAGCAAAGCTGTGGCAGGCATTGTCCACAAGCTTCTTCTTCTTTTGCCCTGACTGACATTACTTAGGACCTGGTTGGTGATGGGACATCCTATTTGTTTCTAGGAAGAAAGACACTGTTTTGTTTTAATAATAATAATAATAATAATAATAATAATAATAATAATAATTTATTTGTACCCCGCCCATCTGGCTGGGTTTCCCCAGCCACTCTGGGTGGCTTCCAACAAAGACCAAAAATACCCTAAGATGTCACACATTAAAAACTTCCCTGAACAGGGCTGCCTTCAGATGTCTTCTGAATGTCAGGTAGTTGTTTATCTCTTTGACATCTGATGGGAGGGCGTTCCACAGGGCGTGCGCCACTACCGAGAAGGCCCTCTGTCTGGTTCCCTGTAGCTTTGCGTCTCACAATGAGGGAACTGCCAGAAGGCCCTCAGTGCTGGACCTCAGCGTCCAGGCAGAACAATGGGGGTGGAGACACTCCTTCAGGTATATATATATAAACGAAGTGAAGCCAGTGGTAGTGGTATGGGAATGTAGCCACACACAAAAATGCTGAATGTGGTGGGCAGTGTGCAGCTCCTTCCTTGACTTCCCCTGAAGTGATAGTGGTGAGATTCTGTCCATGAAGAGCATTTTCAGATAATCTTAGCTCTCTTTCTCTCCTCCCACCCCACACCCGATTTCAGCTCCGTTCTGCTTTTCCTCCTGATTGGTAATGACTCTCCATGATCTGAGGCAGAGACATTTCTCAGTCCTGCTCCTAGAGGTCTGTTAAGCAGAGATGTTTGGGAGTGCACCCAGTATGCATGGAGAATATGTGCTCTGCCTATGAGGTCCTGCTCATCTAGCAACACTGGGGAATGTTAGTTGAAGTGTAATTGTGTGTGCATCTTTGTTGTCTCTCTGCTTGACTTCCACTCTTTTTTCTGTATTTACAAATGATGTCTAATGGTAACAGAACTGCAACTTGCTTCTGTTTCCCATAAAGACAAGTGGTTGTTGTAATGCACAGGCATTTGTTTGAGATATATTTCAACTTTAACTAAATCATATAATCTCACATCCCTCCACTGGCATTCTTCATAAATCACTTTTTTTAAAAAAAAACACACGCACAACCCCAAATGCCTGTATTTTATTTTCATCCCACGCATTACTAAATGCATTACCAAATCATGAGCTGAGATGGAAAACAACAGAATCCAAATAAATATTGCAAGGAGACACGTCAAAAAGATGCTGAATTACAGTGGAGCGAGTCCAAATTAGAAGTGTCTTTGTTATCCTGCAAGATCAATCATTTTACAGTAACATAAAAGGCAAACATCTTTCTCAGCATAACACGCTCTGCAGATCCCAGTCCAAGATTCTGCAGCGAGGAAAGATCCCAAAGAAAGCAGCAGCATGAAGCATCTGACAGCCGTTTCCATTATGTTGGTGCAACATCTCCCTCTAGTGGGAGCAATGTTACTGCATAAACAGTTGAATGCCACTCTTTTTTTAGAGCAAGAGATCTCCAAACTTTCTGCCTTGAGGCCTTGCCACATCATTTTGAGCTCTGTTAAATGACTGCATCAATCTATTACTTAATCTATGCACATTGCAAAGGTTTTCATCTATGCAGGAGTGCTCTAGAAAGTCATCATCACCCCATGTTTATTAAGAACCCTCAACTGTGCACAAGTGAGGGGGGAAAGTTAGGGGAAATCCTAGTACAGTGGTACCTCGGTTTACTAACTTAATCCGTTCCGGAAGACCGTTATTAAAACAAAACCGTTCTTAAATCGAGGTGTGTTTTCCCTAATGAGGCCTCCCGCCGCTGGTGCCCTTCCACCATTCAGATTCCGTTCTTAGACCAAGGTAAAGTTCTCAAACCAAGACACTATTTCCAGTTTTGCAGAGTTCGTAAACCGAATCATTCTTAAACCGGACTGTTCTTAAACCGAGGTACCACTGTACTTTTGAATTATGGTGCTGGCGGAGACTCTTGAGAGTCCCATGGACTGCAAGAGGATCAAACCTATCCATTCTGAAGGAAATCAGCCCTGAGTGCTCACTGGAAGGACAGATCCTGAAGCTGAGGCTCCAATACTTTAGCCACCTCATGAGAAGAGAAAACTCCCTGGAAAAGACCCTGATGTTTGGAAAGATGGAGGGCACAAGGAGAAGAGGACGACAGAGGACAAGATGGTTGGACAGTGCTCTCGTTGCTGCTAAGGAGTGCCTAGTGTGCTCTAGTCCATGGGATCATGAAAAGTCAGACACAACTAAACAACAACCACTGTACTTCCTCAACAAAACTTTTGTTTTCAAGGTGTTGCTGAACTACAACTCCCATCATCCCTGGCCACTGGCCAGACTTGATGGGAGTTGTAGTTCAGCAACATCTGGAGAACGAAAGGTTCCCAACCTTTGCTCCAAAACTTGCAGCAAGCAAGTTGGCATCCGTCTGTCTCGGGAGGACAATAGAGGAGTGCATCTTGGGGGGTGAAGTCTAACCATTGGAGAGTTACAGTGTCTGCTGTGGCTGTAGAGTCCCATGAAGAAGAGACATGTTTAGTTGCAGCTGGGACAGATGAAGGCGTCCGGTTGTGCTGCTGCAGATGACCATGGCAACAGCTCCTGCATATGAAACCGGATTATCCACTGCATCTGTTAAAAATATGTTGAATGTTGAAAAATGTGAGTCATCTAATTGTTTATTCAAATATGCATGACTGAGCAGTTTTGCAATAAACCACTGAGGCGTCAGTAGATTATCCCCCTCATCATGTTTTGGGATGGAATAATTTTCTACTTAATAATTCTGGCTACATGGCTCTGTCTCTATTTTTCCCCACCATTCCAAGACAAACCTCATGTATGTGTTCTGATTTCACCCTTTTGTGGAATGAAGCAGTCTTATTAATGAACCTAATGTTGTGCTCTCTGCGTAGTGTCATGTCAATATGTTGGTGAATTTAACAGAAAATTACCCATTAGCTCTGATGCCACACTTAGCTTCCTGCTTTGCCAAGCATGAACAAAGTGAGCATCAAGGGCTGTGAAATGCAACGTGGCTTGACAGAAACCTGCCTTTTCAGGCCACGAACTGTTGCAATAACACACCTTGACAAGGAGAGTGTTGCCTTTAAGACATGGCTCCTGTTGCTTTCACATATTCTTCAGCTCATCGTAAAAAATTAAGCACTGCACTGGTGTTACTCTGCTTGTGAAACATGCCCTGCGAAACACATTTGCTTCTAAAATCAGAAGGTGCCTCTTTGTGTGTATGTGGTAATTGTGTGACTAAATCTCTCAATATGTTGCATGAAATGGGATTCAGCAACCAGCAAAACCAAGGGAGAATAATTCTCAGGAGCACCACAAACAATTGATTTAAAAGCCCAAAGCATTTTCGAGAAATTGCTTCAGCAGAGGCATCATTACAAATGAATCTAATCTCATCATCCTCCCAGTGAAATATGCCTTTGATGAATGAATTTCTCCAAAATGTGTTGGAATTTTAAATAAATTGTTTGGGGCACACCTGAGAACTCTTCTCTCTTGGTTTTGCTGGTTTGTGGAGTGCCCTACCTGTTTGTGGTTTCTTCAGCAACCACTAGCAACAGGGCCAAAAATCAGTGGTCATCACCCCATGTGAACTAAGTGTATATCTGAGAACATACAATGTTCTCCTGCAGTTCCATGTTTCAAAAGGAGGTTGCTAGTGATGGGCAAGTGGTCTTTCAGTGACTAATTACCAACTCAGAGCCAAAATTGGGGTGTGGGAGAAGTAATGCACTGTATGTGGCAAAAAGACTTCCCAGCAGTCTACTTTGTATGAGGTACGAGGGTGGTGCTGTGGTCTAAACCACAGAGCCTCTTGGGCTTGTCGATCAGAAGGTTGGCGGTTCAAATCCCCGCGACAGAGTGAGCTCCCATTGCTCTGTCCCAGCTCCTGCCAACCTAGCAGTTCGAAAGCATGTCAGTGCAAGTAGATAAATAGATATTGTTGCAGCAGGAAGGTAAATGGTGTTTCCGTGCGCTCTGGCACTCGTCGTGGTGTTCCGTTGCATCAGAAGCAGGTTAGTCATGCTGGTCACATGTAGAGATGTAAAATTTCTGGAAATTTTGAAGCCATGAGAAAAAAAAGTTCCCCCCCTGTTTTTTCCCGGGAAAAAATAAACTATTTTTCTGGGGAAAATGGCTTTTGGGGGAAACTGAAAAAAAACAATTTTTCTGGTTTTCCCCCAGGCCATCCCACCTCTAGTCACATGACCCAGAAAGCTGTCGATGGACAAACGCCGGCTCCCTCGGCCTGAAAGCGAGATGAGTGCCACAACCCCATACTTGCCTTTGGCTGGACTTAACTGTCCAGGGGTCCTTTACCTTTTACCTTTTACTTTGTATGAGTAAGGATTGAGGTCTCAGTCCTCTACTCTGTCCCCCTTTCTCAATAAACCTTCTAAGGAGGGAGGGGAATTTCAGAAGGCTCCCCCCAAAAAATTAGTCAGTTAGGTGATCTGAAATATCAAAATTCTAATGATTGATGTAAGTTTTAATTAAGGCCTTTAAAATATCCTAAATCCAGTTTGACAATATCATTGCCAATTAGCCCACAAAGTATACGATTCGCAGCATATTTTTAGATGAAAAGATATGGTGACAGTAATATATGCCTTCCAGGTGGGTGCCCACAGGCATTCGTGTGCCCACCAGAACCTGCTATGGTTCCTGCAAAAGGTCTCAGTAAACACCCTCTCAAAAATCAACAATATATGAGAGACCTTGCTTGCTCAGTTCTTGTTTACAAAGGATTAGCTTCTCCAAATTTAATAAAATTGGAATCTTTTCTAATCTTCTCTGTATCGTTCCAATTTTAGTATATGTGCTGCCAAAGCGAGCACAATATCCCCCTTAAAAATGGACACATTTTATTGTATGTCTGGAAGGGTTAAAAAACTCTCTTCCCCATCCAGAAACTCTGTGAAAACCACTAACCCCACCCAGCTTGAAACAAAATTCACAATGCTTTTTTGAGCCTATCTAAGGGGCAGCAGAGAGACATGGGTGGCGCTGTGGTCTAAACCACAGAGCCTTGGGATCCCCAATCAGAAGGTTGGCGGTTCGAATCCCCATGATGGGGTGAGCTCCTGTTGTTTGTTCCCAGCTCCTGCCCACCTAGCACTTCGAAAGCATGTCAAGTGCAAGTAGATAAATAGCTACTGCTCCAGTGGGAAAGTAAACTGTGTTTCCATGCTCTGGTTTGCCAGAAGCGGCTTAGTTATGCTGGCCACATGACCCGGAAGCTGTCTGCTGACAAACACCGGCTACCTCGGCCTATAGAGTGAGATGAGCGCACAACCCCAGAGTCGTCCGCGACTGGACCTAATGGTCAGGGGTACCTTTACCTTTTAAGGGGCAGCAGAGAGTGAAGTCTTTCTGCATGGTATGTGTGAGGCATTGTGCATGGTGCAAGCTGTGTATGTGTGTGTGAGAGAGGGGGAGGTTGTTGGGAAAATGCCCTGGGGTGCCCCTGCAGCCCCCGAACTCCGCGCATCCTCCAGTATGCGCAGCTCTGGAAAAGGAATTCCCCTTCTTCTCCAGTGTGCTTCAGTGACATATACCAACTGGTCTATGCACACTAATCTTCTGGCGTAACACAGCAAGAAGATTGAGACATTGTAGAGCTAATCTACGCATTTATTTACACACTACATACAGACAAAGGAATCATTGAGTCCTTTCTCTCCAGCTCCAAGAGAACAGACAGGACAAAAACAAAAATAAAAGTACAATGTAACAGTACACAAAGCGGAAGAGATAAGACTGTCTTCCGTTCCCACACTCTCCCAGACAGGCATGTGAATTACACCAATCACATCTGCAGCATCGGAGGCATGAAATACTAACAGAAGTGACTGTGAGAGTATTTTTTATTTATTCGGCTCTTTTTCTGTCCCCTTCCTTTCACCTTTTTAAAGCTCTCCATTAATGAGCAAGCCACAACTGAAATATCTGAAGAGAGACCCTCCCGTGATATCAATAATAAATTTTCCAACCTTCATCTTGAAACTAGTCAGATTCTTTAGAGAGCATTCAAATTCTTCCTTCTGAGATCAAAGCCATCGTATTTTGTGCCAAATGCTATTTATGACCAAGGCACTCTCATTCATTACCTAACTTACAGGCTACCTATATTCTACTTTAGCATATATGGCGATTTCCCCTTCCCTCATATTAATCCTCCTGGTACATTTTTATGCCTGAATCGTATCTCCTTAAGCACATTATGACACAGCCTTAAAGTACTTGTAATGCAGTGGGAAAGAATTGTGTTGTTTTATGATTTTAGGACACAGTGTTTCATATTATTAGCTTAAATTGCAGATCTTAATATTTTGCAACTGATTTGGGAAGCATTTGTGCAGTGGCGTAGCGTGGGTTGTCAGCACCCGGGGCAAGGCAAATAATTTGCGCCCCCTAAACCGTGGATTTTAGTAGGGGCAGAGAGCTGCGAGTGCGAGCGCACCCCCCCCAGATGTTGCGCCTGGTGCGGCCGGCCCCCCCTGCACCCCCCACGCTACGCCACTGCATTTGTGGAGGGTGGGGAGAAAGAAGGAATGAGGCAAACCTCAGCTCCCTGCAGACTTAGCCAGTAGGAATCGGATAAGAGTATAATGTCACCCAGATCCTGTTTTCCCTCCTGCCTCCCTTTCTGACTAGGAAGTTACCCATCACCCTTTATGTTCCCATTATATAAGCATCTGCAGAATGTGCATTTCATCCCTCATAAGAAGAACCACCAGAACTACAGAAGAGAGCTTTGCTTCCTGCTGGCATCTTAGAATGCAGGTATGAAGATTCTTCACCATGTTCCTGCTAACAAGTTGGCACTGAGGACTGGTTTCACCTCCCTCTGCAACACTTCTGAAATGTGCACTTTGCTGTAGCTGCTCCACCGAGGACAGAGCTTGTTTCAATCAGAGCAGCCTCTGCCCCTCCAAATTCTTAGTTGCTTTCATGGCTTTCATGCTTCCATAACTTCTAATAGTTAGTCTGCTTAATAACATCTGGTGGTTCAGGTATCATGAAGCGGTATGCCAGTGTTGCGAAGCAGGGATGGAAAAACGTTTAGCTTAATGGCATCAGGGCATGAGATTATATGAATTGTGCATTGTGGTTTGAGAGGGAAGAATTCAACACAGGGCTTCTTTTATGGGTAGTAGCCCTGCATCTAGGATGTTGGTTCCTTTTTTTGACAAGGCTTTGGGTTGCAGTTGTTTGTTTGTTTGTTTGTTGTTGTTTTGCATCTTCAACCCAGGCCCGCAACCCCAAATCTTCATGGAATCACTAATCCAAGTGTGAGGGGCTGCCAAGTTCAACTGTGAACAAAATATTGTGGAAACATGTGTTAAACAGATTCTGACATTTTCCTTCTACATTTGTCATCGTTATTCATCAGCTTTATGGAGTCTGAAATAAGCAGCATCAAAATCATCTCCCTAGACATAAGTATATTAAAAACAAACATATGCCTATAAAAATAAATGCCAACCAAAAGCAAATGTGTCATAATATTTATCAAACATTCTGGGCCAATTCCAATCTGGGTTCAGGCCTGATTTGGGAGCTGAATTGGCCTTGATGGACAAAATTGATGTGCACCCCTGTTGGTCTTCCATGATTCCCAGAGGCTTTTAATACTATTGACCATGTTGCCCTCCTGGAATGGCTCTGAAGCTGTGAATGGATGGCACTGTGTTATGGTAGTTTGCCTCCTATCTGTGGTCCCAGTTCCAGAGATATTGGGTGACAATATTTTGGCTCTCTGGCATTTCTGTTGTTGGATGCTACAGGGCACCATCTTGTCCCCCAGAGGAATTTAACATCTATATGAAGCCACTGGGAGGGGTCATTAGGGACTTTTGGATCATGTAACTGTCAGGAGCTCGTCCTACACTCGAGTAGGACCCTGGCAGAGACACATGCCCGACTGGCATGTTCTCTCCCTCCTAGTCGTTCGTTTGGGAGCTTAAAAAGCTTTCTTCACCCTGAACATCACAGAGACCAATGCCAACAGACACCAGCAGGCTTAGGGATCTGCAGAGTCTGTGCAGCTTGCGTGACAGACCTCAGCAACTCAGCATTTTGGCTAATCTACTTTATTTACATATAAACACACACGGAGCACTACAACATGGCTCCCTCTCTCTCTAGCATCAGACAGCAAAGAGAAAGAACAAAGGACAATAGTCCCACTTCACGGAACACAGTAACACAAACATCCTGCCTCTGTCACTTCCCACTCTGTGGAGTCAAAACATATACCGTCATGTGAAAGACAATAATCCCATTACTGCAGTCGTGGAGCAGGAATTCTAACAGTAACATGTGAATTATATGTCACTGGCCACAATATTCCTTATGCATTCCTGGGAGAAAAGGAAATGCTAATGTATGTAGCAAACAGCTATGTTTTCATGGCCTTGCAAGTGAAAGTGACAGTGTGAGAAACTGTACTGGCTTATCTGTGAAAGCTAATTAGTGCCCGCTCATACTTTACCAGCCATGTGACATTCCGATAATTCCTACTGAATAAATGCTGAGCACAAGGAAATCATTTTAACTCCTGCAAGGAGAGTTTACAAATAGCAGGCCATGCTAAGTTCAGGTTTGTGAATGGGGGCATTAGACAAGGTTAATTGTGATCACAATTATATTCTACATTTGTGATGCTACATGCCCTAAGCCAGTGGTTCTCAACCTGTGGGTCCCCAGATGTTGTTGGACTACAACTCCCATCGTCCCTGACCACTGGTCATGCTGGCTAGGAATGATGGGAGTTGTAGTCCAACAACATCTGGGGACCCACACGTTGAGAACCACTGCCCGAAGCCCTTGACCATGGGTAGGCAAACTAAGGCCTGGGGGCCGGATCCAGCCCAATCGCCTTCTAAATCCAGCCCATGGATGGTCTGGGAATCAGCGTGTTTTTGCATGAGTAGAATGTGTCCTTTTATTTAAAATGCATCTCTGGGTTATTTGTGGGCCATAGCAATTGGTTCATTTTCTCTCTCTCTCTCCAAAATATAGTCCAGCCCCCCACAAGGTCTGAGGGACAGTGGACTGGCCCCCTGCTGAAAAAGTTTGCTAACCCCTGCCCTTGACCATTCACCCACAATCTCATCAGGGTTCAACTTCAGTTTATTAGCCCTTATCCAAACTACAACTGAGTCTATATACTGGTCCAGGATCTGCAAAGTCACACCTGATTCAGACGTAACAGAGAAACAGAGTTGCATTTCATCAGTGTCCTAATGGCACCATGATACAAATCCAGCCTGGTTTAACACCAGGCAATGAGGAAGCTTCAGAGACTCTATGGGCCACCATACATCGCTGCCGCATTGTGTTTGGCTTCATGGATGACAAGACAGGAATGTAAGAAGACATTATTTCCATTCTGCCCTTGTATTTGGCACACACAGCACTGTTTCTCTTCCACTGCAGTTGGTCTTCCACCCAAACCTATTATTTGTCTGGGAGAGGGAATGTAGTCAATTATATATTTCTTGTTAACTTAAAGAAGCAACATCAGCAAATCCTAATATATTTGCTTTTTGTTGCAGACTTGGGGAAAATACGCAAACATCAACAATTTTTGCTTCTGTTTCCATTTTTTCCCTCAGTTCTCAGACAACCAGGATAGAGTTGCTTTCACCTTCCCTCTGTGTGTGAAGAACAGCATGAGCTTTGATAGAGTCCAGCCGCTTTGCTTTTCTCAACTACTTGCTCTCAAGTGAGTTTGTCATGGATCTCTCTTGTGAAAGGGAATAGCTAATGTACAGCTGGGAAGTATTCTGGTAGGACCTCTGTGGCAGTTCACTTCAAGATGGGGAGGAAC